AACAACAACAACAACAGAGTAACATGAATTCTGAAATTGAAGCAAGAGGAAACATCAAATTTATGCTGAAGCTTGGGTGGAAGAATGGTGAAATCATGATGTTTTCTGAAAACTTTATGGGGACTGTCCCCCTCCAGAGAAACCAGCAGTTTACAAGTGGATAACTTGTTTTAAGAAGGACGAGGCAATGTTGAAGAGGAAGCTTGCAGCAACAGACCAAACACATGAATTAATTGTTGAGGGCACAGACTTGTTTTTGCTGTAATTGAACTCTTGTGGTTGTTAGGTGTTGTTCAGTTGTTACAGACTCATAGTGATCTTACGCACAACAGAACAAAACACTGGTCCTGTGCTAACCTCATAATCGTTGCTGTGTTTGAGCCCATTGCTGCTGCCACGGTGAGAATCCATATCGTTAGGGTGTTACTCTTTTTTGCTGACCTGCCATTTTGCCAAACATGATGTCTTTCTTCAGGGATTATATTTGATAATATTCTGGTGTTTTCCATCATGGTTCGATATTCACTATTCTGGTGCTATTCATAAGGTTTTCTTTGGCTAAACATTCAGAAATAGTCTGTCTCTCCTTCCCTGTCAGTCTGGAAGCTCAGCTGAAACCTGTCCACCATGGGTGACCCTGCTGGTATTTAAAATATTGGTGGCATGACTTTCAGTATCACAGCAACATGAAAGCCAGCACAGTATGATAGACTGACAGAGTAATTTAAGAGCACCTGACCATTAACAGCAGAAATAAATAGCCAGTACCACCGACATTTGATTAAGTTCACACACAGTTCTGACTGAAAAAGTTGAACAGACTTTCTGCTTGATAGGTGCTAAAATTGTGGCACCCAGATCAGCTGCAGACCAGAACAGAACTTTTCATTGAAATTTTATACCAGTGGGATCAAGATCCTGAAATACTTTGGACGAATTCTAGTAGGAGATGAATTATGACTCTGCCAGTAAGATCTTAAAGCCAAAGCACAATCAAAGCAGTGACTGCCAGAGTTGGAAGTGACTCCCCGGCACTTAAAAAACAATAAGTATTCTGTGTATTTGTGGTTATTGTAAAAGATATGGTTTTCCTTTTATATATAAATTTCTGATGTAAATTTAGAAATAAATTGCTTTTTGTACATTGATTTTTTTTAATCTTGCAATCTTGCTAAACTAGCATGTTAGTATTGGTAGCTCTTTTTGTAAATTCCATAGGGTCCCACCCTCCAATAGGGTCTTTTTCATAGATGTTATGTTGTCTATTTGAACCCCAAGGTCGGTGGTTCAAACTCACCAGTTGCTCCTTGGAAACCCTTTATAGTGTCGTTATGAGTCAGAGCCTACTCAGTGGCACCTAACAACAACAAAAGACAGTGTAACTCCTTTCTTACTAATATGATGCTTATGATTTCTTTTTCTTGCTTTATTGCTCTGACAAGAACTTCTAGTATAATGTTAAATAGAAGCTCTGTGAGTAATCATCTTTATTCCTTATGACCCAGTGTATTTGAATTTTCTAATGCTACTGTCATATTTTTAATTGATGTTACAAGTCTGCAGCCAGGGCCCCTAATTTCATGTTTAATGTGATCAAACACTACTATCCTAATGTAAACTAACTACAGAACAAGGGAGTTCTAAATTGTTCCATTTATATCCCTGGCTGCCAAAACTATTGAATCTTTAGCAATTTTAAATAAAAGGTTATTTTTCACAATAAGGAAAGCAAAAATAAAGATTATTGGTTTGAGCATTAGTAGGTTTTACATCCTCGTATGGTGCTGTAGGATGAAGCTCTGGACTGTAAGGTCACTTTGAATCACAAAGTTAGTTGTTCAAATTCACCAGCTGCTCCTTGGAAACCCTGTACAGGGTTGCTGTGAGTCAGAACAAACTTGACAGCACTTACGAAGACAATTACATTTTACTAAGTTTCTTCATTATTTTTGGAGTGAGGTGGATATTAATATATAAAAATTAATGATATGTTTGTTTAAAACTATGAAAAAAAAAGTTAATTTTTCTAATGGTTCCCATAGAGCTTGTAAATAAACTTTTGAGGGAGGAGTCATTATGACCATTTTAGAATAAGTTGTATCATGTTTGTTTGTGCTTTTGATTATAGATTAATAGTCCTAGGATGGATCTGACTCTTGCTGAACTTCAAGAAATGGCATCTCGCCAGCAGCAACAGATTGAGGCACAGCAACAAATGCTGGCTACAAAGGTAGTGTCTTGTTTTCAGAGACCTAACAGGCCACTACTGGTAATGAATGTATAATGCTGTTTACATTCCACCTCATTGTTAAACCAGTTAGCGCAAGGTGACCCAAAGTTACTCACTACTACTATGTGCTAATTTCTTCCCCTTGTTGCATTTTGTAGAAACTTCTGTGTGAAAGGTGAAAACTGTGAATCATTTCAATTTTCCAAGATCCTCCTTACTCCTGATTCTAATCAAGATTAACCATGCTATATTGGGTACAGGCAAAACAGGACAGACTTAAAGAAGCCTTCAACTTTCCTGCTGGGAACTACTATGGGCTGACCTTGACCTGAATCATCGTTACAGCAAGAGGAATTGTAAAGATTTACTAATGTCCCCTCTGTTGAGTGGCACCAGCAACAGACTGCTTGCCTTTATTCGGGGACACTTTCCACTCACAAACTAATCCTAGTCATGGCCTTGAACAGGGAAAATATAAGATGCCTCTCTAGTGTTATTATAAAAAGTAGTCTCATTCTCCTCTTCCTGCCAGATATCTAGTTCAAACCAGATGTTTTCCTTGAACGTTTTGAAGTCCTTTGAACTCCCTAGCATTCCTGTGCATTCAGTCCTATTTGTAATATTTGTAATAGAACTGAATGCATAGTGCCAGAGTTTTCAAAATTATGTATGAGTGTACCCTGGTTTCTCAAACTTCAATAAGCATATGAAGGCATCGTGTTAAATATGCAGATTATGAGTCAGTCTGTATGGGATGGGATCCGAGCTTCTGCAGTTTCCGAGTCCCGCCTCTCAGGTGATGCAGTTAGTGCATATTTTAAGAAGTGATACGTGTTCAGATAAAAAGTTGATTGTTGCAGAGTAAATCTCTAACTCGGAGTCCTTATTTTAAATTATTTCTACAATGTTTATATATTTCAAGCATTTATTTTGGAGAAAACATGTCCCTTTGATTATAAATGGCATGGTTCTATTTCTCAGTTTTAATGAAAAAATTTAATGTAACAATAGCAAAACTTTGAATTGCATAATTTGTTTTTCTAAAGGTGTCAAGGTATTACCTTAGCTCATTTTAGTTGTTACTTACTGAGTGTTTATAGAGCTTTGCATTTCACATTACACCTCATTATCACTGTAGCTCCATGCGGTAGCTACCATTCATTACCCTCCTGGCTAGATGAAGAAACATACGCTGTTGCAGCTATCTAGTGTTGCTGTAACAGAAACACCATACTGTAGGATAAAGTACTGGATTACAAGGTTGGTTTGAACTGTAAGGTTGTTGGTTCAAATTCACTAGCTACTCCTTGGAAACCCTACACAGGGTCATTATGGGCCGGAACCGACCCGAAGGCACTTAACAACAACCAACAAATGTATTTTCTTACAGTTTAACAGGCTTTAAGTCTAAGCTCAAGGGTGCTGTCTCTGAGCTTCTGCTACTGGGAGATCTTCATATGACATGGCATCTCTCTTCCCCCATTTTTGCTTTTTAGTTTGTGTAGGATAAGCACTGGGTACAAGGTTGGCGGTTTGAGCACCAGCCACTCCATCGGAGAAAGATGAGACTTTCTGTTACTGCAAAGATTTTCAGGAGTCCTGATGTGGTGCTGTAGGATAAGTACTGGACTGATAACCATAATGTCTTCGGTTCAAACCCACTGGCTGATCCTCAGAAACCCTATATACAGGGTTGATTTGAGTTGGAACTGACTGGAAGGCACTTAACAGCCACAATTACCTCAAAAGAAATGGACTCAAGACACACCCTTCACTAATCCAGTCTCATTAATATAACAGACAACCTGGTCCCAAATGGGATTGTAACCACAGGCTTTTAGAGGTTTGGAGGTCACATATTCACAGACTGAGATATGAGTACTTTGACCAAGGCCTCATAGCTAAGAAGTGGCAGAGCTTGGGTTTAATCCAAGACTTACTCTAAAGATTGCATTTCACTTCTTTCTTATATTTCCTCCAGCTCTGTGTGAGTTCCTTCTTAACAGTGTTGTAGCTGTTCACAAAAACTAGCTCAAAGTTTGCTGCTTGCTTGCTGCATGAGACCACTTGGTGATTTGTCAAGTCTAGGACTGGGCCCAGGAGTGTCTGTATAAAAAAAGGCTCCCAGGTGATTGTCATGACTGTGAACCACACAGACATCTAAGCCCTAATGTGGCTCTGCGGGGGTAATGCTGTAAGGTCAGTTTGAACTTCAAGGTCTGCAGTTCTAGCTCACCAACCACTCCTTGGAAACCCTTTGCAGGGTCACTATGAGTCGGAACCGACTCGACGGCACATAATAACAACAACAAGGTTACTTTTGAGTTAGTGTCTAGCTGTCAAAAATGATACATCTGATGATGGCTTTTATTTTTAGGAACAGCGCTTAAAGTTTTTGAAACAGCAAGATCAGCATCAACAGCAGCAAGCTGCTGAGCAGGAGAAGCTTAAAAGACTGAAGGAAATAGCTGAAAATCAGGAAGCTAAGCTAAAAAAAGTGAGAGCACTTAAAGGCCACGTAGAACAGAAGAGGCTAAGCAACGGGAAGCTGGGTGAGTTGCTACTGTGATACTAAAGGCTATTTAGTGTAAGACAAGGTTGGCGTCCGAAGTCAGAAAAAAGGACGAAACTCTGTAGATACTTTCTAAGAGTTTTTTGAAACTGGCAAGAGTTAAAGAGTTAAGATAAGTGCTGGACTGAAAGGTCAGTTTGAACCACAAGGTGGGTGGTTCAAATTCACCACCTGTTCCTCGGAAGCCCTTAGGTCTCTATAAGTTGGCACTGACTTGACGGCACTTAACAACAGCAACTGTTATACACACAATCTTGTGATAAGAGTTACCCATGAGTAGATGCATGGATAAGCAAACAGGCTGAATGATGTATTCCTACAAATATTTATGTAAGTTTGACAGAACATATTTGCACATGTGTATTTATCCTTTCTGCAAATATATATCCAGGAATATGGTGGGGCATGCAAGGGGCAAAGTCATGAAAACTCTTTAGGCATTACCAGACACCTTCAGGGAATGAGTCACTGGACTTGGGGGCTCAGGACCATTGTCTTGGTAGGCACCCATCGTCAGTTGGCAGAGCATAATTCTCTATGTTGGTGAGTAGAGACTGGGGTCTTAAAAGCACACGAGTGGCCATCTAAAGTGCAGCTATTGGTCGATTATCCCACTGAGGACACATGGAAACAAGTAGTCCAATGGACTAGTGGACCATGTAAGGATCAGTATTCGTGATCCTGAGACCAGAAGAACTAGATGGTACCTGGCTGTCACTACCAACTGCTCTGTAAGGGATCACATTAGAAGGTCCCCGATAGAGTGGGAGAAAAATGTGGACCAAAACTCAAAATCATAACTCAAAAGACTTATTAACTGGACAAAGACAGGTTGGTGGAATCCCTGACATTATGGCCCCTTTAGTCAGTCAGTCTTCAGGTCTGAAAATAAACTAACCCCCGTGGCTCAGTTTTCACCCAAGTAGAAGAGTTCAGTAAGGGGAACAGTAACACTAGGGAGTATGCACACCTTAAATTAATCAACTGTTTGAGATCAAAAGGGCAGCACGTACCTAAGGACAAAGTTCAGAGGAGTTTGGAAAGAAGGGATAAAAACACAGGGAGAGGAAGCAGGATACTTGATATTACAATGGAGGTGACTGCAGTCGGTGACATGAAACAGTGTATGAATTGATCGGCTCTGTAAATCACCACTCAGTTCACAATACAGTGTTTATTTTTAAAAAAGAATTGTTTCATAAAGTATAACTTATTACAGTTTTGATGTTGCCATTTCGTATGAATTAAGTTCAGTTGTTGAATGTTTTAAGAAAGGTTTCTAAATGATTTGAAAATGTGGTCTTTCCCACAACCCCCAAGGCATTTTTTTTATTTGAGTTTTTGATGAAGGTTGAGGTTTTCAATCATTTGTTTCTTTTTAAAAAATTTGATTTTTGGACATTTCTGAAAAAACCCTCTACTTTTTATTAGGAAGCTTATCGTAAAGCCTGGTTGCCTGGGAAATAATCCCCTCTTATTTTCCTTTTCAACTACTGTTGCTGTTCTCTCTCTTCGTTGTAGTGGAGGAAATTGAACAGATGAACAGCTTGTTTCAGCAAAAGCAGAGGGAGCTTGTTCTGGCTGTGTCGAAAGTCGAGGAGCTTACAAGACAGCTGGAGATGCTCAAGAATGGCAGGATTGAAGGCCACCAAGACAGCCAGTCTGCTGTGGCTGAACTGGATCGTCTTTATAAGGAACTACAGGTAAATCTTACCTGGTTGTTAAGTATAGAGTAATGTTCTCTCTAGACCCTGGGTGGCATAAATAGGTAAAAACTTGACTACTAATGGAAAGGTTAGTGGACTGACCCCATTCAGAAGTCTCTGGGCAGGCAGGCCTTGGAAACCCTTGGGCGTAGTTCTGTTCTCCACAGCTATAAGGTCACTGTGAGTCAGAATCAATGCAACAGCAACTAGCAGCCAACCTCCTCGGTGTGGTTTGTCTGAACTTTGTGTGTCAGTACAGCTCTGCTCCTCTTCTTGGCTCTTTCTTTTTCCAGAAACCCCTATTTAAAAACCTAATTATTTTCATTTATTTATTTATTTTATTGTGGTTTGGGTGAAAGATAACAAAGTAAATTAGTTTTCCATTCAACAGTTTGTGTACATTTTGTTTTATAACACTAGTTACTATTCCCTTAATGTACGAACATTCTTTCTTGCTTCCCCCCCTGGGTTCTCTGATTCCATTCATCCTTCTTTCTTACCCTTCCTGCCTTTTGAGCTTTGTTTTGGGACAGGTGTTGCCCTTTTGGTCTCTTATGGTTGATTATTCTGGGGAGTATTTTCCTCATGAGCGTGGTTACTTTATTGGCCTATTTGTTGTTTGTCTGCATGACTTTCCCTCCCCATGCCCTGGGTGGGTTTATTTCCAGGCTTGAATGGAGTCTAGCAGCACAGTCTTGGGGTGCCACCAGTTTCTGTTGTTGTTAGGTGCCATCGAGTCGGTACCAACTCACAGCGACCTTATGCACAGCAGAACGAAACCACTGCCCGATCCTGGGCCAACCTCACTGCTGTTGCCACACTTGAGTCCATCGATGCTGCCACTTTGCCAATCCGTCTTGTTGAGGGTCTTCTTCTTTTTCTCTGACCCTCACCTTACCAAACATGATAGCCTTCTCCTGCGACTGGTCCCTCCTGACTATATGTCTGAAGTGTGAGAGACGAGTTTGGCCATCCTGACCTCCAAGGAGCACTCTGGTTGCACTTCTTCCAAAACAGATCTGTTTGTTCTGTTGGCAATCCACGGCACTTTGAATATTCTCCTCCAACCCCATAACTCAATTGCGTCAATTCTTCTACGGTCTTCCTTATTCACTGTCCAGCTTTCACATGCATATGAAGTTATTGAAAATACCATGGCTTGGGTCAGGCGCACCTTAGTCCTCAAGCTGACATCTTTGCTCTTCAACACTTTAAAAAGGTCT